TAAATAACTTCTGATGGCTGTACATCAATCGTTTATTTTTTTTTCTGGCATAACAGTGTGAGATAAACTGTTTATAATTAATCTCACATAGATAAATTAAGTAGTCCAAGAATGTGAAAGTCTACATCAAGGGCTGTTAGTTATCTTGCTTCTCCTGCCATAACAAAACTCCCAAAATATATTAATAAATCCTTGGAGTTTTGAATTAAGTTACTAAATTATGGGTCTGTGAGAGAGATCCCGAGAGAACATCTGGTTTAGCCTGGTGCTTCCAAAGAGGACTACCTGGGAAATGTGGGCATATCCCTGGGCTGGAATTCTCTAGGGGATGAAGAAGCATTCAGAAGCCTCCATAAAAGCTTTTTTGATAGTCATCATATAAGGCATCCTATAGAATTGATCATCTTGTGAAAATGCATCTAGAAATTATGCAGAAACTAGAAAATCAAAACAGCAATATTCCTTTTCAAATTATAAGATAATTTAATTATAAATGTGAAATAATTAAGTTGCTCTACAACCCATTTTTGAAAGTAATAGTGTTTTGTGTTTATAGTACATCATTTTGCACTCAAGTATCTGGTTCCAATAAAAACATATCTCCACATGAAATAAAAGTCTATATTTAGGATCCTAAGCATATGATATTGAGAATGTTTAGAGTTCCTTAAAAAGTCATGTTCATGTAGACTTTTTAAAAAAGTGTCAAGTTCTCTTAAATTTGCTCAGTTCCATCCTTTTATTACTAATGATATTTATTATCAGTTGTATTTTAAAATGGGATGCACAGACAGAAGGAAAAACTTTCCAAATTGGAGTCTGTGGGAACTTAGCTCAGTTCTTTTTTTGCCTGGGTTGGTGAGAAGAGGTTACAGGCTCCATCCCACGTGCCAAATTAGTTAGCTCTGAGGTGCTTTTCTCCTTTGTACCATCCCTTCCTGGCCCCAGTCCTACACACGCCCCCTGTTATACAGGGCGATGCACTGGTGAGCAGAGAGAAATGAGCACTAATCCATCACACGACTGACTCAGCAACCATGGAGCAGGCCCTGAGGTGGCACAGTCAGGAGCATCCTCTCTCCACTGGCAGGACACTGTCTGAAGCAGTGAGCAGTGAGAGGATGAAATGCATGGAGAGAGAAGAAATCCTAGATGATCAACATAAATGAGTATTTTCAGTAACAGAAACTTACTCCTTTAAGTATCAAAACATTTAAAGAATGTTAATCATTTGTATGTAGATAGAAATTCCCCAGAAAGTTTCCTTTCCTTCTTAGTTTAAAGGATACTTAACACCACCAATCCTTTTACCATCTCTAGTATTGATTAAAAGAGCATCTTCAAGATCAGCCCATTCATTTAGCATTATCTCAGGTTATGGGCTTACTAAAATCCTGACAAACAGTAATGTGCTCTAAGGAGGATGGATAGGAAAAAGGATCTAAAAATACAATCAAGTGGGCTCTTAGTAAAGCTTGAGTCTTATTCTACTCCCTTGTCCAGTTTCCTCTTCTCTTAGGTCAGGAGTTGACAAACACAGTCTGCTCCCTGTTCTTATAAACAAAGTGTTACTGGAACACATCTGTGCTCATTCATGTACAAGTTGTATCTTGCTGCTTTTACACTTGAACTGCAGAACTGGATAGCTGCACCTGAGACAGCATTGCCCACTCTGCCTAGAATAGTTACACTCCGGCCCTTCACAAAAAAAGGCTGCCAGCCCTGACACTGAAATGACTGTTACATGCCTTCCTTTCTCATACCTCCAGCATCTTCCCCTTACAGCCTTCACTCTCAGCTAATAACTGGATATTTTTTCTGGGAAATAGAAGCATTCAGAAAAGAATTGCCATGTGTTCACACACCAAATACATCAGTCTACCTTCACATTTACCCCTGTACTTCGCCTTCCCTCCTGTTACAGTGAGTGACATATTCACACTCAGGTTTCTGAGAGTAGAGCTTTATGCTCACCTTCCTACTCAAGGACATTACTCCTAAAAATGTCCTCTCTCCCTCCTGCATCATTGAATTTTCTCTCTACTGGAGGATTCCTAATAAAGATCAGTATGCTGAAATATCCTCACCTTAAACAAGCAAACAAGCAAAACTCCCTTCAGCATCGCTCTTTTGCTGGTGTCTGTTCGCTGGAACAAAACACCTCAACAGAGTCGACTCTCATTCTCTATTGAACTAAAGGCTAATAATAAGGGTTTTTTCCCTACCACTATTTTTCTCGGAAGAAAAAAAGATGCTGTGCTCAAAGTCACTGATTACTTTTTTCAAATTCAGTATTAGCTTTTTTGGACCCTCCTTATGTGATAATTCAGCAGCATTTGATAGGTTTTCTCTCCCTCCTCCTTAAAACACCTTCTTAACTACTCAGTCTTCTCCTCCTGGAGCCACTGCTTAGTCTTTCTTCCTGGGTACTCCTTATCTTCCCAATATGACACTGAGGTCCTGGGTTTCTTCTCTTCCCTGTTTACATTACTGCATTGGTAACCTTACTCATTCCTCTGGTTTTAAATACTGTCTGAATCTGGTTTTAAGTACCACCCATGTATATCCATGCAATCTATACACTGCGATGACTCCCAGATTCCTTTCTCCAGCCTGGACTTCTCCCCTGAACCTCCCCTGGCCACCCAGCAACTCCACGCAGACTTCTAGTAGGTATATTCCTCCCTGGATCTTCTTCCCCAGTCTGCCCAGTTGCTCTGACATCCCTAACCTGCCAGTTGCTCGGGCCACGTATCTTGGAGACAACAAAATCTCCCCTACCTCTGAAAAATATCCAGATTAGAACCACTCCTCACCAGTTCTACCACTATCCCAAGTTCCAAGCGATCTCTTCTCTGAAGACCAGTCTCCTAATTGGTCTCTTAGCTTCAAGTACCTCTCCTCACCTGAAGTATTTCCTCAACCTAGCAGATAGAATGATCCTGTAAAAATATGTCAGGTTATGCCAGTCCCCCATTTAAAACCTCCTAAAGGACTTTCATCTCATTCAGAAAAAGAATCTGAATTCCATATTCGGCCTACAAGGACTCTACACGATCTGGTCTTGCATTGTCTCTTGGACCAATCCCAGCAGTCTCCCCCTTGCCACCCCTGTTGCAGCTGTGTTATCTGCTCTTCCTTGAATATGCTGAAAACACTGAGCCTCAGGGCCCTTGCACTTCTGTTCCTCTGCTGGAAGCACCCTTCCTTACTTCTTTTAGGTCTCCACTCAAATGTCATCTTATTAAACAATTCTTCCCTGAAATGTTCCTATCTTAATCACACCTCCCATCATTCCTCTGCCCTCTTACCCTGCTGTATGTTCCTTCCTGTCACATGTGACCATCTGCTATTTCTTATCTATATGTTATATAATCCATAGCCCCTATTGAATGTGAGCTCCATGACATGTGGGACTATTTTGCTATTGTTCACTGTATCCCTAGAACCTATAGTAGATCTGCACACATGATCATTGCTCAAATAAAATCTGTTGAGTGAGTGAGTGAATGAATAAAATAAGGAGCTAAAAGAGTGTATATGGGAAATACTGAAAGGAGAATATCATAAATATTGGTTGTTATTTAAGGATTTGAAAAAATATCATGGTGGATAAGAAACAGACTTGGTTTCAGTTGCTTTAAAAGGCAAAGCTTTACTTATGGGTTCAAATGCAGTGGTTTCAGGGTTTGTGTAGTTCATAAGGGACTTTCCAACAATTCTGGCTCCCACCAGAGCACAGGCTATCTATCTTAAGATAAACTGAGATCCTGTGTAAGGAAACCTTGGAAACTTAAATGGAAGACCACTTGCACAGGATGTCATAAAAATCTCTGACTTTGGGAGAGGGATTCCATGGACTGTCGTATGGGGATCTGTGATTTGGGCTACTTCAAGGATTTTTTGGTTTTCCTCTTAGTTGTTGGAGAAATTGCTAGATAAGGAGATGTCGTTGCCCATGGGGATAAAGATTTAGTCATTGCTTTGCATGAATGGTCCCATTTCTCTGATTCCCACTCAACAAAATGGGTATCTTTAGTGCCAACGGTTAAGACCATGAAGCTGATTTCACTTGCCAGTCCCTTCTCCACATTCAGTCATGTTGCTAACCTACAGACCAAATTCTGTAGGTTGTATTGGGTAAAACTAAGATCCCATAGTTTTTACTGCTCTTGCCAAGAGTAACTTCAGATTTCTTTATTAGATCGGCCTCTAATATGTCAGTAAGAACCCTTTGTGAAAGAATTTGAGCCGAAACTGTTCATAATTTGTACATTATAACGAACATTTTTTTCGAATCAAAGTCTTAGATTCTTTTCCTTCATATTATTACTTTGGTATAATAAGAAAATGTGATGCTTTATGGATCATTTACAAGCCCTGATAAAATTTTGAGCTTTCTTTTTCCAGTTTACTTTTTATAAACTTTTTTTTTTTTACCATATTTCATGTAACATTGGAGGTATTTTGTTAGTAATGCCCCATAGTAACTTTCTAGCTGTAAAAAAAAAGATCTTGTGATCTTGTTAACTGTGTATTTGTACATAGAATAATCTGGTGAAGCAAAAGAATTAGGAGAGTTGTGCACTGTTATTTTTAGTACTCTATCACTTCACCCCTTTTGTCAGAGTGGTTCCTGGCTAACTTTCCCATGAGTTTTTAACCTCTTGTTAGGCTTTGCTTATGTAACAGGAAACAGGCTGTCAGGAACAAATAGTGGCATATCAGGAGCACAGTTTAGTAGCAAATGATTTTGCCTGCTCTGCCCTGCCCTCACTTAAAGGGGACTGGTAGATGATCTCACCTTTCAGACTCTTGGTTCGGCCTCCCTAGATTAAAATAATACAGTCTCAATTTGGGAAAGGCAAAAGATTTTACCAAGACATGATTTAGTCCAGGCAACAGAGAAGATGAGCTTGTCATAAGGTGAACTTTGCAGTGGTGTCATGTCCTGGGACTGTGGATTTAAGTATATCTTCGCTTTCTCTCCAACTCTTAAGGCAGGGGTGATGTGCAAGCTTCAAGAGAGAGATGATATCGGACGAATTGAACTGGTCCAGAAGCTGGCAAGAGAAAACTATCAGTTTCTGCAGACGGACAAAAAAGAACAGGAGAAATCTGAACACGTAAGCCCTTTTCCTCTTGGGGATGCAGGTTGGAAGGGGAAAAAAATGCTTCTGCTTGGCTATATGTTTGAAAGAATCTTTTATTTTAAATTCTCTGTATTTTTCCCACCCCAAAGCATTCTCCTTAGTAAAAAGACAGATGCTCATAGCTCTAAGCCAGTGGTTAATGACACTGGGTTTATAAGTGAACTTTTGTCCAAAGTAAGTCATGTAGAAATATAAGAACACATGTAAACAAATATGAATGCATGCCTATTTATGATCCTGATTTGATGGCTTTCAAATTTGACTTTAGAAATTTCACCCCATCTGGTAGTTTATGGAATATATTTTGAAAGAACATTCCAATGTATTTCATGTTTAGTACAAGAGTGGATCCAGTTACCAAACAAATGTATCCTAAGTCAGTAGAAATAGATAAGAGCAGAAGAACAGATTACAGATGCTCTGACCAAGTGGGATAATCAGAAGGGAGTTTTCCCAGTATCTCATGAATGTTTGTGTTCCAACAAGAGTTATATTGTTTGGCTAGAGTTAAACTGGAGGAAAGGGACGCTCTGCTCAGTTCTGAAAGCAGTTATTCAGATTGTGTCCTAGAACTGAGAATGCTGCCGTCATGCTGGGAAAACAATGGAACCACTTTCTTCTGCTACACGTTGTTGTCTGTTGACTTTTTTGTTGTTGTTAAGACTTCACTCTCAGTGCTGAACTCTCCAGGATTGCTCATGAAGGGGAAAATTCCTCGGTGCTCATAAACATGTCTTTCTCTGACTTTAGTTTTTCCTTGGAATTTTATTTTCAGCTCTTTCCAAGGGGGAAAAAATTGCTTCATGAGTTTTCTGCTTCAAGGGCATCAATACAAATGCCAGGGTTTTACTGAGCAGGAAAGTTGGTGAGATGTTCCAGGATGGCAGGCTGTTTAGTTAAACGTAACACCTCTCTTCTGACAGTGCTATGTCAAATTTAACAACTGGTGTCTCAAGGGGGAGAGTAATAAGGAGTTTCAAAGCCTTATAACTGAACTGTTTCAACAGTGACAGTTGACTTTAAGTGTGAGTGGAAGGCTCAGGAGCTTTCATTTCATTTCACTAGGTACTGTTGAAAAGTTTAGGAACTTTTTAGGTTGTTAAAAGCACCCTGAAGGTTGACTTTTATCAAAGAGTGACTCCTAACTTGTGCTGTGTCCTTAGAATATTTGAATATCCTAGTAAATGGCTTAAACTTCTCAACAATATTCCTTTTGATGGATTTTAATTAGAAGAGCAATGGTTTTCAGATGTTATATTAATTCTAAGATGCACATTTCTCCCACATTTTAGCATGTCTTAAGTCAGACTATGTCTTAATGATTGTTGATATGAAAACATGCCATGGTTTAATTGTGGGCATTTTTCTTTCCCAGTGGCCCTTAAAATGAATGGTATAGTTTACAATGGATTACATATTTGATCCAGTGGACCAGCCACAGCCTTCCACTGCGGGTAGGGCCTGATCTTTTAAGAGCCAACAAATAGTGAAATAGCGCTTCGCCGTGGTTAGAAATCACCAGACTTATGCCAGCAACAATGTTATGCTTATTTAAAAAATATCTGTGTTGCCTTTGCCTTATTTTAGTTCAGTCTGAAACATTATAATTACAGCTAATGAGAATATAATGTTATCCAAAATATATAATAGAAATCTGAACTTGGTGCTGTCAATAGCAAAGACTTCTAACATGAGACAGAAATTTAGTGGTAGACACTCTGCAACTCTGTTTATGGTTATCTAATCTGTTATCTTTAGTGTTTCATTTTTAAGACTGTAAAAGGAACATGAAGGTTTTTTACTTCTTGAATGAATGTCATAATATGGATACATTAACAGCTCTGAAGTGTTTGTGCTCCTGGGAAGGATGGTGTATAAATAAATATTGGAGTTATGGTCTTTTCCTAGGTAGATGTTGCCTACTAACACTTAAAGTAAGGAGAGGTGAATATTAAGGATCTCTTCCTTAGAAATAGATTTAAACCCAGCCATTCTGTGACCTCCCTTCCACAGGATGATACCAGTTAAACTAATCAACCAGGTTATTTATATAGTACTTTACTATATTGATTACTTCATACTAGATCCTTACACATTTTTACAATAATTAATTAGGAATAAAAACCTTCTGGTAGATTATTTTACTCTTTTATGTCATAAGCATTTGCGATATGTCCGCCTTTGCTTGCACACTGAGTTCACAGCGTCCGTGAGATGGACACAGCATTTTCATTTTTCCTGCCCTCACTTTCTTCTCAATAGCAGTCATCTGCTCTTGCTCATGAAAACTCAGTTCTAACACACAGCATGTACAGGGGAAACTGCAATTGACTTAATGTAAACCTAGGTCTGCAGTTTCCTCTCCTTGTTGTAACAGTAACAATAATGACCAAACCCTGGGGTTACATGCAGATTTCCTTTCTTTTATGAATTTAAAATATCTCATCTACCATTTATCAGAATCCAAGTTGCCTATTAAGTCATTCTTTTTATCAAGCTACATTGCTTCTCCAGTTCTAGAATACCACATCCCTTTATATAGGTATGTGCCCAAATGAGAAAGCTACTTAAAGTACAACTGCATAGAAAAATAGCATAAAGCTTTAATTACTGGTATGTCTTGTTATAAATTGAAGAGGCTTAGAGCTTTCTTTCTGAGTAGGCATTTCTAATGGTTTCTTGAACAGGCAAGTGCTGTAATTATAAATGCATAAAACTAGGGAAACACTTCACTCTGTGCTTTCGCCAAGGTGTTTCTAGAATAAAAATATTTAAATGTATAATTATCACAAATTTCTCAAGAAGCATTTGTGTTTCCTATTTAATGTTAATAAGCTGTAGGCAAAGTTAACCAGCACTCATTCCTAAGTGTTGAAAATTAGTATGTGAGAACCTTAAGAAGGGAACAGAAATCGGCTACTTCTAAATATTATGATAGTGGGATTAACATTTGGTCATTAACTCTTGAAATAAAATACCTCTTGTGTAGGTGTCATATTTCCCAGTCTTATTTCTGTGATAATGTCAGTTGAGGAAGAGGGCAGCTATCACCAAATGGAGACTTTTGAGCTTGACCTTGAAGGATGACTAAGGATCCCAGAAGGGCAGGGCAGAGAAGAGCCTTTAAGCAAAGGGACTAACAGAAAGACTCGTGACTAGAGCCCTGGGTGATTCATGAGGAATTAAAGCGGGGGTGGGCTGAAGGGATGTCAGAATTCAGGTGTGTAAGAGCTTGTAAGCCTCTCCAAGGGTTTTAGACTTGCCTTTCTGGTAAAGGAAAGCCATCAAAGAAGGGAAGTGGCATAACCAGATATGGTCTTCATAAGCTCTTCTGGCACTGGTTTAGAGGAAGAATTGAGTTGGAAAGAGGAAAGTGTTGGAAAGAACCCTTAGAAAGCTATTGTAGTGAGTCAGGTGAAAGGTGTAAGTCTGAACTAGGGTATAACTGTACGAAATGAGAAGGCCACAGAGGTTGAGGGTCATTTAGGTAGTAAATTGGCAGAATTTGATGACTAATAGTGGTGGGGGAGGGAATGTATATGTGATTTGATATTAAGCAATTTTTAAATTTTTATTAACTTTTCCTTGGTTTAGTGGTAGACATAAGAATGTTCTGTTTATCACCAGAATGGTTGGTCCCCTTTACCAAAAACTATATTAAATATTCATCTTGCTCTGTTTTCCTAGAGTAAGTTTTGGGTGTCTGAGATTTACGCTAAAGCACACAGTGTTTGTGTCATTGACAGACTGTTAGATGGGTTTCTGGCTAGCAGTATGGGGACTACATTGATGTTCCTAGACCAGACCCTTTCCAGATAGCTTCAGCAGGCAGAATCTCTGGTAGTCTTGAATTAATGGGATTATTTAACCATAGTTTTGGCATCTTTTTTAGCAATTCCTTCCTCAGAATTAGCTGTGGTTTTAGGAATGCCCTTCAACCCATGTGGTCTGAGTTGGTATTACTACACTGTTATTTTAGAATGATAGTCCTGAGAAGGAGGAATGACTAGGACAGCTGCGAGGGAAAGGCACAGAACAATTACGTGCTGAAGGGATGGTGGTGGCAGATGCCAGAAGGAAAAGGAATGTGAAGGTGTTGGCTTCGTTTGAGTCCTAACTTAGATCTGAGAAGCATACAAACTTCATATTTCAGAGTCAGTGAAAGAGCTGTATTAAAGTATCTATCTAGATGTGGGTCCTATTTTCTGGACTACAAGTGCACTGCTTACCAGAAAACCGAAAAGCTTATATTTTCCTGGAATGTGGCCTATGCTTTGTAGTGCATTAACTTGTAGAGTAGCAATGCCAGTAGTGGCCCCTAAACTCACTTCCTGATTTCTAAATTGCAGAAATGAGGATCTATGGAATGGATGTGAGACCCTTGCTAAGCTATACTTTCCCTAGGGACCCTGTCTGTATCCCTCCCTCTTCCCACCAGCTTGCTTTCTTCTGTTCCTTTGTTAAGTCTGGGACCCACCCTACTTCCTTCCCCTTTTAGAACTCCCTTATGAAATATGGGTGGGAAGGGGGTTTTGCATATTCTGAAATTGAATCTTGGCATAGTCTGCTGCCGGGGTAGGGTCCCTATCACTCAACCTTGACCGGAATTTCCCTTTCCCTGTTTCCTGCAGCCTCATCCTGGAATTCTGCCTGCGTCAAAGGGATCGTTGTTCAAGGATTACTAGGGTAGAAGTAGTTTGGGGTATTGTGGCTGCTGTCACACTTATTAAAAGTTGGTTTCTATTTTTCCAACTTTCATTCGACATATTACATTATTTAAAAAAAAATCTGCCTATAAAGCCAAAGTCCTCCTTTTACTCTTTATGAAATACTAAGAGGGAAAAGTGGCTTTATCAGTCTATTCAAATGTGCATTATACATCCAGGCAAGTGAAGTTAAGAGCAATCATGGCATTATTCAAAGTTTACCAGTAATTTGTTTAACCAAGAAACTATTTAAAGACAAATAGAATT